TGAAAACCGACTATTTTTATATTCTTTACGGTTAATGATTGTGTTATTTCTGCTACACGTGTCATCGAAGGTAATAAAAACAATAATAATGCTTGTAGTGTCTACTCCTTCATACTATGTAGGTACTTAAGTACCTATACGTTATCATAAACTTTAACCACAAATAAAAATACAAATAATGGTCAACCAGCCAATATGGGAGGTTATTGATTTACATTGTAATGTTCTGAATCGTAGTTCATGGGCGACCGGTGCCTTTAAAATAATCATGGTTATGTCAACGCGAAATACTCGTTCATGAACGGTGACACACTGTTTTATGTAAATCTGTATGATGATTGTACGGTGCAATACAGAAAGTTAATATTAAATCGTTGATTAATTCAATACCCACTCGTATTCCTATAATAATTTTGATTACAAAATAAATGCCAATATAATTCTTTACTTGTGATGTTTGTGTCATACTTGGATATTCATGGGACTTGCGCTAGATTGTTTGTCAAGTGGGTGAAGCTAAGGCCAAAGATGGCAAAAGTTACTGTAGATGCTCTGTAGTCATTTACTGCTGGTAAAAGCTACCACTGCTTGATGATCAAAGTCCGCAATGGAAGGATAAAAAAATGAATAACTACATATTTGTTTTTATAAATAAGTCATTTGACATAATATGCAGGTACTGGTATAATATTAATCAGCAAATTGTTATCCATCTGTTACAAGACCATGATACATAACATTTATATGTAAATCAGTCTAGGAATTTTAATAGCCACGTGGTGCTATTGTTATGTCACGTCAATCAATCCATTATGAACAATTACTCGACAACCTAGAAAAGAACCGTTAATAAAATCGTCTTTTTGTTGCTAACCAAAATACGCTCTTCTTCTCTTAGTAAATGATTGCCAATAATGCTTATCATTCACTAATTCTTATCACAATTAGCTGAAAATTTGTCACAGGCGTCAACCTTTTACTACATCATCATAGATTAAAGTCTTTAGTAAGACAATGGAACATAATGACAAAGTCCTATTTGTTATTTTTATAAATAAACTTTGTTGCATTTTTGTGCGTTATAAGAACTAAATTGAAGTGGTAATTTACTAAATCTCTCATTTACTGATAAAATTATTTTAAAAATATCACATAAGTATTAGTTTATTTACTTCTGTGTAGGCTACAGTCGGCGACAAATAGTTTGTGACATCCAAAGTGGCTAAAAAGTTGACAACACAAGGTTGTGTTGTGAACTTTTTGGCTACTTTGAGAATCACCGACTATTTGACGCGGACTGAACAATAATATGGTAATTCTTCAGCGCTGGTAAACAAACCGTCTCAGGTGATTATTTTGATTTCATACAGATGTAATGTTAGTCATACATCAATCCCACAGTTAAACTCGTTCTACACCGCTGCGTTGACGATCATTATCATTATAATGTCAGCAAATTACACAATCATTATAATCAGATGCTCTGTGAATATTTCAAATCGGTAAACCTCGTTGAATTTATTTATATCTAACATTACGTATTCTTCGTATAAAACCTCAATACTGATATGATTTATTTTAATAATAAGGTACTTTCACTGCCTGAAAGTTTTTTCAGGTAAAAGTTAAAATGTTTTAGAGTAAGTAAAAGCTATAGGCAGTGCCCAAAATATTAACTTCTTTAATCCTAAATTAAATAGGTAATTTGATGTGTGATTACGTGTGTAAATATTACACGAATATTTTCGATAGTTCTAACACACACAGATCAAATTACAACACTAATTCTCCATTACAGTGAAAGCTTCATATTAACGGTGATTTCAAATAATAAAATTGCAAAGCAAATAATCCAGTTGCCCCAAAATTACGTATTTCCCCAATCGATTTTTATTTCTATATCCTTAGTTTTATATTTAAAATCAAATGAGGAAATTGGTCTATGTATACATGTCTAAGTGGACATTATTCAACGTGACTATAAAATGTTCTAATCTATTTGTTCAGAAATACCATACATTCTTTGTTTCTTTGTTTTCAATCAACGCAATGGGATGTTCAGAACAGATAGTGTCTATGCTATTTTATTATGACTAATTTAACACAAAATGCGTTATTTACTCGCCTATTTAATTCATCATTATCATATCCCTAGTTAAATAATGAGTATAATAATATGTACTCATATGGTCAACTATGTAAAATAGCCTCGACATAGCTTATCAAACAATTAAGGAAGACACATGGCCTATGCCGCAATGGCTCTACATTACTGAGGAAATTATTTATTTGTGAAGTAATTAATAGATATCATAGTCATAATTAAACTAATGCTTGTTTACCCATTGCATGTCTATGATTAATTTACTTCGTAAATAACTTACTACAACTTACATAATATGGGTTTTATCCGTCTGAAAAACTTACAGGACGTTGTTGGAATATGAAAATACTAAAAGTTATACCTACTTTTGGAATGCATGTAAAAAAGCTTTTTGTCTTCGTTAAATACATAGTAGGAAGTAGTACCAAAGGGAAAGTATTTTTGCAGCTTGTAAATATCCAGTAAAGCTTTATATGAATTCATGTTGTTTTACTCGTTCAAGTAATAACTCGATATCTACAGACTCAATCCAAAGCACTATCAGTCAATCTTGATGAATACTGCCTGGATTCTTTTGCAGAACAGTCACTCATTTAATATCGGTCTTTGATGTCCGTAAGTATGTTTTTGTTGGTCTGTTGAATGCATTACCTATATTAAGATAGTGGGTATTTCGATTAAAATGGGGCGCGTATAGGAAACAGTTTACGATTTCGCGGAGCTTCGCCAGCCAGCTGGGTAAATATAAATGATTACGAACATGTACCGGGCCATGACATTTCCTCATCAATATCTCAAAACGTGAGTTTATTGATGAAACTACGATAATTTAAGAACAATATTATGTGAAGAGTGATTCATTGCTAATTTGGTAGGAATATAACATAGGGATTAATAATGTTCACTGATAAAATTAGTGAGCATGTGCAAATTGTGCTAGTCTTTAATGAATTTTTGATACAAAAGATTTGTAGGTTACATATCTACATAAACTTATTGTCGTTTTAAACTAATAAAAGAAAATACATTAATTTCTCACTACTTAATATTCACACCTAAAAATAATATTGGTCTGAGGAACTCTAGCTTTATTATTGTAACTCTATAGTTTCTATAAAAAACTAAGATTCTTTTATAGGTGTTAGGAATTTTTATTACGCGATCGTGGTCGATGGAATCCACAATATAATTAACATCAATTTCTTGTAATAATATAACAACAAATAAGTAAGTAGTTTAAGAATAGCTGAATTTTTGAGTTACTTATGAATAGATGAAATTACTCGTAATTAATGAGTCACAATGAAAAACCATGTTAAGTTTGTGTGTGACGTGTGTGACCCTTCCGCATAAAACTCTGCCGATATGAGCAAGATTTATTTTATGAATATGTTACGAGAACTTTAGAATTTGAATTTTAGCATATGACGTCATTTAAACATAAGATTTTGAACGGTTTAAAAACATAACAATAGTTTTGTTGGCATCAACAATAACATGTTTGCGACTTCTAAAGTATAAAAAAATCTAATAAAAAAATATAATTAGGATCTATGGAAAATCGTCATAAAAATAAACAAATAGCGTGACTAGACGCCAGTAATTAACAATCTGACCCTTATTTTTGTTTTAATGCTCATTCATTTCTTGTAATGATTAGATGAATACGGGTCAAAGTCAAGCGCCATTCGTTTCGTTCTATGAATGATGTTAATCGAAGTCCAACTATTGGTTGAATTTTAAACAAAACATAGACATCTTTTTCATAGAATTAGAAATACATCTAGCTAGAACCTTCAACTGAGAATTTTTATTTAATCATTTTAATTGGTAATCACTAAGGAAATTTCAAAATGGATTGTAATAAAAACGAAGCTGTGACTAGGTGTTTCCATTTTATCGATATGTGACGTCTAATTAGCTGATATCGATGTCTGGCTGGTTTAGGTATTTTATTTGAGTAAGCGGGAAATAACAGACATTTAGGATTCACGTGGTGACGTAGCTCTATGTTAATTTTTATATGTCTCTCTACACTAACATATTATTATGTTATACTTTAATTCCATATAATTAACTTACATGAGTGCAAAATCATTGTTTTTACAAAATATACCTTTACCCCCTTACTAATAAAACTTACACGCTCGTTGAACAGTGTTTTAAAGTGACGTTTAGTATGGAAATGTCATTTTAGAACAGTGTTCAACAACTGTGTAACTTTTTATTAGTAAGGGGGATAGATAGTAAGTAGGTACGACGGCCTTATCTTAAAAAATTAGATAGTGACATCGAATGCGGTATTTTAACGAGACCGTTAAAACATAAGTTTCATTATAATTCCAGTTGTTCGTTCATCAACGTATTTAAGTACAGTTGGTTTTTTGACGCGAGGACGTACAAATTTAGACTGTTGCGATAACCCGAAATTTCAGCATACAAATATCATATTATAACTACATCATTTTATAAGCTTTACTAGTAGATATTTAGAATTCCTGCTATGTAGAGTGCTCCGGAAATAACTAGTAGCAGCCATTTAGTGATTCAATGTTCATTACCATGACTAAAACATTACATTTCATTACCCACATACACGTTACCCTTTTATCTAACAATTCGCTAATTAGTACTACAAATGAAATAAAAATGCGTACAGCGTCAATGAGCTAAAAACAACGATTAATGATTATCACGTTTAGAGTCACGATAAGACCATTGGATCCAATTAAAATACTTCTGAAATCTGAACCAACCATGAAGCTTAGCTATTTGACATGCAAACCAAATCGAATTACAAACAAATTCAATACTAAAATATACTAGGCAAAAGTCTAGTAACCTAGATACTAATTTTAGCCATTACAACTATTAAGTAATAGAAAATACAACTCACCTTCATATATGGACCTATCATAAAGAACAGTTGTGAACGTCTCGCGAAATTAGATTTCACGAAACCCAATCAATAAACTATAATGTCAATAGACACACAGGTTTTCAAAGTTTCACAGCAAAATACTATCACAGATTTTTCACGCGTCGTCAGCATGCAGCGGTTTAGCACATGTTCCAAAAAGTTTTAATACAAACAATCGAACGACAATTTTTAAATTTATTTTTTCTTAGGCATATTCGAACACCGTAAAATAACTGGCTGGTAAGGAACTTGCGTTTGGAAAAAGAATCCGCGTGGTTTTTAAATTTTGACGCGGGAAAATTAAATGGCTGCGCGCGACGCAAATGTCGTCCGTGTGTTGTCCGAACGGTGACTGGCTGAACGATGCTAAATCGCACACTTGTATATTCGCAGCCGGTTAAAAAATAAATACGACGAGGTGTGATGATGATGGAAGGCCCGGAACGTTTCATGGAACTGTTGTTAACTGTTATCTAATATAAATTCGATCCATTCTTTTATAGATTTGTTTGTAACAAACTATTAATACGAGTATCCTCGACAATATTTATAGGCTGCATACTCGTAAGTATTTTTCCAGTTGGTGATAGGTTATTTTTCATGAGTTAGTCAAATTATATAATCTCTAGTTAAACCAACGTTTCAAATCATACTACGCGATATAGTGACTATACCCTCCTGCATGATAAGAGTCAATTAAATAAATTACATACTTATTAATACATAATATTGTATAGGACCTTCCCTTTAGAATTAAGAAAATATTTATAACTTTTGAACTTGAAATTAAATTCTCGTGGGTATATCGATCGACTGAAAATATAAAATAAAAACATTAAATAAAGATAACATATAGATAACCACGCGACACGATTCATAGTGGAATATTTCGTTAAATATAATATAGGTAGGTACATAATACTCGTTACATACTTACTTACCTAACTAACAAATACATACTTAGATCTATAAAAATGTAAGTAGGTACATACTTATTTAAAAGCCATAATACATGCACGTGTCCATTGATAACCTCCTTTTTTAATTCGGTTAAAAATAACTCTCATCGGTTTGTTGTACCCCACTTGGTTAGACTGTTAATGAGCACACGCCAAAATACTTCCGACTGTCCAAAGCTTCCTGTTCTCTAAAATAATATAGATTGCTATCTTCAACAAAGGCATAAGTGCTGCAAACTGCTTATCGTGTCAGTATAATTTGAAGTAAGGTGGCAAGAAGACGCTGGATGCAGGTCGATACCAACCGGCCAATCTGAAAATCGTTGGGTTTGTTTTTCCTATGTTCATCATTGCCTATGTTTAGCAGTGTACGTCCTGTGGCTGAAATGGTGATGATGATGATAATTTGACATCCAGCTAGCTCGCTCTACCTAGCAATTCTCACATTCTCATAGATAGATATAAAACAGTAGACGCTAATGAACGTAGAACATTTTTCAACGGTCAGTTATTATTTTATCTCTGCTTATTATCTCAAGAATAAAATTGCCATTTTGACATATTTCCCTAATTTGACTAATATGAACACTGAACTTCGCATGGCACAAGTGATTTAGTTCAACCATCGTGAAAAAAAAAGCTAAACATCACTGAAACATTTCAGTATCTGTTTTAGTTTTTTTTTATTAGAGTATTTAAAGTCTCTCTTGTGTAAGTATTTCTGTAAAATATGTGGTTTTTTTTTTGTGACTGGATGAGGCAAAGCATTGTTTTGGTGAAAACAATAAAAATGCCTAAGTACTATGCATTGTTTTTTCTATGGATTTAGAAATAAAATGTAAGTATTTACTAAAGGATTCTTTATATCATCATAGACCTTTGTTTCAATGGTGTATAGGCTAACTTTAAACAAATGTTCTAAGTCTACTATGAGAAAACACAAAACTATTGTTAGTTTGAAAATAACGACCGTGTCCTTACTTTTCAGCTGCGACACCTTGAATGAAGACAATGTCTTCGGTTATTAGTTTCAGTTTCCGTTATGTGAAAAACATGCAGATTTAAAAATACGCACAGAGTATGTAACCGAAAATAAATTATTCATCTGTCAATCATTACTCTTCATTCCATTATTTCAGTAAAATATAATTTTTAATTAACTGTCGAATGTGGAAATTACTTTTCGATCACGGCACAGTGATCTAAATGGTGGATTAAAAGAATCGATTGACAGTTAAATACTTTGTATATTATTATGTATGTAAGTATAGGTATTAGGTGTGGCTTGATGGCACATAAAACAGGTTTTCCGGCATAGTTATAAATAGCAAAAAAGAATAAACACCAATTATGACGATTGTAGGTCATTAACTGTTTAACATAGACATAATAAGCCGGTGGAATATACAATCAAGATTCCACAAACCCGCATGTCAATGACCGAGCTCGTTAGTATCTTTACTAATTAATTAATTACCTGAAAATATGTTATAGCTAAATAACGGCTGAAGGGCTCTGAACACGTGACACAAATTAACGAAAATACAAGGCCCAATGGTGATGGACTACCTGTAAAAAAGACTAACGTAGCCTAGCTGAAGCAATAGTTATCTAATAACTAAGTTCATTTTCTATCAGAGGTCACGTCAAAGGTACTATATTGACTCCGACCGAAACTGTGCACTGTGCAACCTCAGTGGCATTCCTTGAAGTCCTTTCCCTATGTAAGCTTTCTAGGTTGAGGGCACAAGGGAGGGATATTAAAGTATGTAAGCCAGATCCAAAGCTCCTGAAGACCCCTACAGTCCCACACATTTCCAATTAATGCATCAATGCTAATTTAGGTACATACTTTACTTACATGAATTGTTACTTCTTCTCCTCGTTTAACAATCCATAATCTTGAAAATCGCCGTAGCCTGCTACACCGGCTCGTCGTGAAACGAAAACTGCAATGGTCTGTGGCGTTTTCATCATGATTCTTAATCATCGCACAGTCTTTGTTCATCAGAGGTCCTGTAAAACAAATATTTATCTTTCAGTTTTTATGGTAGCAAACAGGCTGTAGATAGCGCGTAAATTGCAGTACCTCTCTTTTACCAACACTTTGAGACACGTTTTAAAAAAAATAACACTCAAGCCTGTAGTCCAATTTGAAGTTTCAACCAATCATAAGCAACTTTATTAAATATCTATGCTTAGGCTTAAAATGAGTTACGGGTCTAAAACTGAGCATTTTGCTCAATATACCTCATACTATCCATCCATACCATCATCTCGTCTTTTCTTATTTTAATCAGATTTAAACAACTGGCTTAGTCACTGAATGGGTAAATAAATAAGTGTAAGTGACACGTTAGGTGAGGACATCGACTTTTCCTTTATAAACACTGGCATGACATCATGAAATGTGTATATTGTAAAATTTAAATAAAATAACTATCGTAAGGGACTTGGTCGATAAAGACTTTAATACCTTTTTTTTTTCAACTTTATTACATCAATATTCTTAACTCAATATTGCTATTGTTTTGGGAATCAGCCGAATAGTTTTTCATAACCAACATCACAAAATGAAGCTGCATCTTAATGTGCAATTTAAAAAATATTAAATGTATTGCGATGTATTTTCAAATACTTGCATTATGGCACAAGAAAGATGAAAATAGAATTTGATTTATTCAGTTTCGAATATTATACTGACGTTGTGAATACGAAATGGTGTCTAAATTTTCTAAAGTCATGTGCAAAGTTATGGTACATTAATATTTCAGTGGAAAACAGAGTCTATTTTCGCCTGAACGTACTAAACGTACAATATGTACAACTGTAAGTAACAACAGCCGTCCAACGTAAATATTATGACTTCTAAACGAACAGTGGGCTGTAAATTTTTAAACTTAGGTACAATTTGTATGTAGATAGGTTAAGGTTAGCCCAACAGATGACATTTTTGTTGGCACTTGCTATTGCATGGGGCGTTTCGATAGCTGTAAGTAAGTACATAAAATATTATTTGAGGTAGAGTAGGAAGGCTTAATTAAGTGGTTTCATGTGGTAATTTTTTACTCGTAGAGTATGTACCTAAGTACCTGTTTCCTAGCTTATTATGTGCTGTACATAAGAGTCCTAGCACAGAATACATAATAGTAGCGTACTAGCTTGAAGTTTTTTCAAAACAAAGTTTAACTTGTAAAACAAGGCCCTATGTTGATATTTACTTAATGCAATCAGTAACAAACGAAACATAGATCTCTCTTGAACAAATAAACAAAACTCCGACTCTGTTTGCTTGATTCGAAACATGTGTGTTTGTTACACAGAAATAGTCAACACTATAGCTGTTTTTACTCCAGAAATTTAATTGCATTTTACCCTTGAGACACAGGCCCAGTTTTTTGATTCATAGTTAAAATAACAAATTGTTAAATTTTGCTACTAATGGTTAAATATTAACAAAATGTTAACTAATAGTTAAAAAATGTACCAAAAGTCAAGCTAACCATTGTTCGAAAAACATTTTTTTCTGATATTTAACCACTTGTCATTTGACATCTGTCAAATTTGACTATTGGTTATTTTAACTACGAATCAAAAAACCGGGAGGAGCTTATGCCATACTACAGTACATGGTAACATACCTTTCTTTGAAACTATGTTGGTAAAATTGCAGTCACTGGCTGGCATTTCAATGATGTTCTGAAAATTAAAAAAAACCCAATTTTTACTACTACGCTATGGCACTGGATTAATAAACAGCACGCACGTACATTTTGTACACTTGAATGGTGAAAAATGGCGCGCAATTCTTTTTTTTTTCGCGTCATTAATATTATCTATGCGCGCGGTTAGAAAAGGCACTGGCGTAGCAACCAAACAGCTTTAACACAATGCTAATCTCGAGAATTATTTTATTTATTTAAAAATAATAATAAAATTATTTTATTATTTTGAGATGCATTAACAAACTTATTGTACAGTGTGAGTAAAACCGCATTCACCCGGACACGGCCTGCAGAAAAGTATTGAGCATTCACATGAGGATTTTAAATGGGAGATTTTGAAGATTGTACATATCCGGATTCCACAAGAAAATTCCAAAAGGCTATCGCCATAACATTTTATTGAAGAATTTTTAACCAGGATATTGGTCTTCAAAACTTTTGCGAGGATTTTTGCTGGGAATATAAATTCTTCTGAGGAAAGGTAATAATGTACTATGTTTATGTTTTTTTTTCCTACTTTACTTTAACACACATTACAAAAAATAGTAACGTTTATAGGAATTAATAAATTAGAGTACAATATCTACACATAACATACATCTTACTGTAATAAAAAAATAAATGAACTAAAAAGGTTTCCCGTACCGGGAATCGAACCCGAGCCTCCTGGGTGAAAGCCAGGTAT